ACCGACCGAGTTAGATAAATAATATATAAATAAAAAGTATAACTTGCATAACTTGTGTTACTTGTAATTTATACATAATATTATTAAATAATATTAAGTAACATTTGTACTTATAGTATTTACCAGCTATACCATATTACACATACAAGTAACTAAAGATCTTGATCAACAGATTTATCCTTTTGTTTAAAGTCAAGTCAAAGGCGATATCAGTTTAAATTAGTATGAGTATTTTTTCTTAAAAGCAAAAATAACTATACAATATGTCCTTATATATTATGACAAAACAATTTCTTTAACATTTTTAGCTTAACTCTTCTATCGATTGGTCATTTAAATAAACTGAAATTCTACAATTACAATATTAATTTCAAATGTTAAACAATACAATGTAATTGATAATTATTAGTTATATATATCATATATATACAAATTTATACCTACTTAATAATATATACGAAATGTATACAATTCGAATGTTATCGTAACAATAATGGACACATTTTGTTCGTTTTCGTGATCAATCACTGTATTACTTTATTTTATGTTATTTTAATTTATTATTAAACTCTATTATAATATTAAAAATTTACCTATATATAAGTATTTTTATAAACATAATAGTAATTTTAAGTCATTTTTTGTTTACTCACATACATTTTATCATACAAAAAAAGTACATAAAATAGTGCATATTATTATTATATAAGGACATTTTATTATATATACAGTTTTATTTATAGTTTTATATTATGTAAAATAATCGTAATTATAATATAAATGTACAATAACTGTAGCAAAATAAAAACATTTAAGTATATTATATTATGTGTAATAATAAATGGAAACATATTAAAATTAACATTTACCTAAACTAAAGCTAAGGCTAATCTTAGTATAAGTAGTATCTTTACCTTGGTTAAATATTATTTAGTTGTGATCAAGAAAAATCATATTTTATTATTTTAACTAGCTATCAGCTGGTTGTTGTCGTAAAGTGCTTTTCAGAAGCTTTGTTTTTACTTTTTTGTAATGGTTTGCTAGTCAAACTTATTTATACTATACATACACGTTATTGCAGATTATATAAGTATATTTTTATAGTACCTAATTTCATCGTCGTTTAAATAAATGTGAACTTAACTGTTGACCTTTATCGGTATAATTTTATTAGGTATATAATCTTCCCGAGTATGCAGTACTTAAAGTTAAACTTTAATTGTAAAAAATTAACGATGATTTACCAAGTTTTTAATATTCCACAATAATATATTTCACGATATTTGTTTAAAAGCTTTTGACCATAAATCATGAAGAAAAAGGTTGACACCAAACGACGGTATTCAATTTAAAAATGATAAATTATCACTTTCACGAAACAATATTATAATATTTGGTGTACAAATATGGTAATATATTATGTATTATAGTATGTAAATACCAAAACAACTTGCTAAATACTGTGAAAATTTCAAATTCACTTAAAAATATGGAATTATAAATGAGTATGAATATTTTTGGAAAAAAGTTTGGTTGACGGTATTGAAGGTATCATGGTTGAAAATATTCGGAGGATAGTGGAAAAATATATAGGTTATAACTTCATGCAGGTACCGGTATTTATGACTTATGTTGTATCCTCAAAATATGACTGTGATATTTTGAATAAAAATATAAAATTTATAATAAATTCATAAGATTTTGATTATTATAGATTCCAAGATGGGCGATGAATGAATCGCTTCCACAGTCATATAATACGTTTTTATTTGTCTGTGCCACTCTGTAGACACCTTTTGAAGCAATACAAATTTTGAATTTGGAAAGTTATTTGTGATACCAAAATTAATTTAGATAGTATTTATTTTGAGGATCAAAATAGAAATGTCTTAGTATTTTTTTTTTTTTAAATAATTGGAGAAAAAACAAGTAAAGTTGCTGTACTGTATAATTGTGTATATAATGTGTCAAATGTACTTTCTTCGTCATTGAATATATAGGTCACTTATAGTGCCCATAAGTAAAAGTTTGGAAGGAGAAGACACAATTTTAATTTTTATTAGAAATCAAAAGCAATAATATTACATATTTTATTGTCAGTATAAAGTAGTAATTTTTAACTGTAAAATATTTAATAATAATAATAATTATAATAATAATACGACTATAAGTTTTAATTAAGTATAAAATGGACAAAGGACAATTTATTTTTTAAGATTTATGATGTATTCAATTATTATTTTAGGAAACAGAACAATACATTTATTATTAATAACAATTTGTTTTAATTTTTTCGTGCCAACAATATCGTAAAAATATTATGGTTATTATTCTACTGTTCTTAATCGTACCTACGTTACGTTTAAATATCAAATTAAGAGGTGTTTATTTTAAAACGATATTTCCTTGAAACCAGACATATTTTGTAAAACTCGTCATTCTAAGACTTAAATCGTTATAAAATATTGTATTACCAGCGTGAGGTGTGTGGCTGACACATAAATCTAAGTATAAATGTTTTACCAGAGGAGTCAAAACGTTCAGGGAAATCATGAGGCGAAAAGTAATGTCTTGTATATAAAAAAAGTTTAACACGTCGTGATAGGGTGTATCGATAGTCATACAATCAACGGTAATATCATTCATTGTGGTGTCTCGCGTGAAGTACACATCGTCCTGCACACCCTTCTCGGAGGACACATCGACGGCTGCGATTTTTCGGATCCCGCAGTCCTAAGACGGCGGCGGCGTCGTCGGTTATACGCGTCTTTCAATATACGGTCACACAAGGCACAGGCGATATTAAATGATAATTAATAACGATCGGAAACCGGATGAGGGGAGATTTCTTGTTTCCCGCGCCCGTCGTGCTGCGCCGGCTATAACGCGTAATGATATAACGTACGATTTTCATACCTTTGCCCGGACCGCAGCGGCGCGTACAAATTTCGTACGATCAAAATATAATATAACGTGTATGAGACTGAATGTGTCTGCAGTACAGTTCTAACCGTATTGCGTATTATTATTATTATTATCATCATCATCACCGTCGTCCGTGACTTTGTTAGCCGTGATTAACGACGCGTGTACATAATATAATAATGTATAGGTACCGATCGATAGACCAGCTATCGGTGTGTGTGTGTGTGCGTACGTCCGGGTGACAAATAGCCGTCGCCCGGTACAGTGGAAATAATATATAAAACGGTCCATTGACAACGGTAAGATTAATGATGACGAAAAGCTGACGCCGTCGTTGGACGAACATTAAATCGTATTATATTATAATATTACTGTTATTTCCGTAAGCTATGTGCGTGCGCGCGTGTGTATGCGTGTATGTGTATGTGTGTAGGTAGTTATAATGTCACATAGGTAATATTTTTATCGTAAAACACGACGTATTATGTGGTACACGTAAAATGCTGTGTATACCTGTGTACATATTTAGCTGCTACGATTTGTCGTGTATTATATTACTATACAATACACCCAACTCCATCGCCGTATAACATAATGCGTCGTATTTACATTATGATGATAGTAATAATAATAATAATAATAATATTCGTAGTATTTTCACACGGTTCCTATATGGAGGTATATACACGCGTATTATAATATAATAGTAGGTACATAAAGCTACGTTTTTCGTGCTATTATTATTTTTTTTTTTTTTTTTTTATAAATATATCTGATCATGAGTTGAAATTAAAAAAAATCACAAAATATATACAACACAGCAACACAGCGTGAGTATTAAAATATTCAATTAGTATATTATTTAGGTACCTACTTTAAGTTTACTGAATATTAACTAAATGCATGCTATAATTATTTGCTAAGCAACAAAACAGCACTGTTATTATTTTTGTTGTAATTGTTTTTTTTTTTTTTTTTTTTTGACTAAAATATCTATTAAAAAATATATAATAGAAAAAAAAACAATAAATCTTAAATTCCTCAAAATGACTCATCATACAGAAAACATTGAACATAAACAAATCATTGAAGAATCAATTGATGACAATCAAATTAATGACACTCCTTTGTATAAAAGTAGTGATTTTATATCCAAACAAATCAAAAGTGAAAAATGTACGATGGATGAAAATATACTACAACTCCAGTATCCTTTACTAAAATCAAATCAATCTCTTTACACATAATTATATATTTAACTTAGATTACCGACTATACTAGAGTATAAATGATATTTAAAGACCATTTTATAATACTTAGTTAGTTAAAGGATGGTAGATGATACTTTTTATATGAATATTTAAGTTCCAGTTTCCAATTTGTAAAATATAAATCCTTATATTTTATAACTTAAGCCATTCATTCGGTTATGATTGCTGTTTCAAAATGTTCAATATATGTGCAGCAGATAACCACACAATTGTGTATGCTGCAGGTAGTTATATTACCATGTTTGACATCAATGATGGGCAATTGGGTTTTAGAAAATGTGCTGGTAATGGAGGAATAGGGTACATAGTTGTAAGTTTATTTGAATATCTATTGTTGTTTTACTATACATAAATAATAATTAATATATTTTTAAATAGAAAAATCCTGTTTTGAACCATATAGCAGTAGGAGAAAATTGTAATAATCCTCTGATAATTGTGTACGAATGGCCAACATTTGAAATAGTTAGTGTTCTTGAGGGCAGTGCTAAACAACAAATATGTTGCTTATCATATAGGTAAAACAAAATATACCTATGTGAACTTAAATCTTATAATTTGTTTAACGACTTAATTTAATGTGAACATGAAATAAATTAAAGTTTTGTTTTCAGTGAAAACGGTGACTATTTGTGTTCACAAGCAGGAAAACCAGATAATACTCTTACAATTTGGGATTGGAAAAAATCAAAAATAGTCTTGAGGACCAAGTCTCACACTCAAGATGTATATATTTGTAGATTTTCAAACTTTATACACAACCACTTGGTAACCGCTGGTTCAGGACATTTAAAATTCTGGAAAATGGCCAAAACTTTTACCGGATTAAAGCTTCTAGGCCAGCTTGGACGCTTTGTAAAAACGGAAATATCAAATGTTATTGGAGTTTTCTCGATGGCCGATGAAAAAGTAAAGCCATACCTATAAATAATAATTTAAGTAAAATAAGTCATTGTTATTTATTATACAATGATAAAGTATGGTTCATATGAAATATCTCTTACTTATATATACAGAAATCAGTAATCTTAGTTATTAAAACGATGCTGTTTGAATTGATATATTATTACAATATCTAAGCTTTTATTACACTAAAAAAACATCAAATGTGTATATATACGATATCAACGAACAATTTTTTTAAAACATTTATTTCTGGTTAAAAAAATATAGCAAATATTATGATAATATTATGATTAAAATATAGATTCATTAGTAAAATTGTATATACATAATATAAAAAACAAGTCAAACTTAAAAATTTAAATTTTATTGAGACTTATAAGCAAAAGTAATTTACTGTAATAACTTGATCTGTTGTTGTATATGTTTTTTTTTTAAATTTCGATTTCAAAAAAAAGTTACCTACATTTTAGATTTGTAAAGTCGTAATTATTATATAATCATAACGTTAATGACTATAGTATATAAACACAATAAATTGTTAATTAAGTATACATCTATATATATGCACTTATATGTTTAATTTATATTTATTCGAAAAAATGAAAAATGAATTAATTTAAATAAAACTTATATTATACTTTTTATAATTTTATTAGCTGTTAATATAATGTTCATAAAAAATCACGAAAAAACGATTTAAGCATAATTATTATTTATATTATACAACTACCTACACATTTAGGTTTTATATTGATATTATACGAATAAACAAACTAATCTACTATAGTTACACTAATTGCTACTAAAAGCACCCTAATTTTATTCAGGATTATTTAACTAATTATCTAAAAACTATTTTACTGATTAAAACACTAAAAATATTCTGTGGTTTTGAATTCCGATCCATTATAAGTGTGTAATATTTTACTATACAATGAATCCATAATGTGTGCCGTTTTAGTCTATCAAACGTTTCAGAGTCACAGATCTAGTGTATAGTTTTCGGTTTCATATATCTGTTTGCTATGTTTATGTTTAGGTGATATCAGGCTGCGAATGGGGTAATATTTTAGTGTGGGGAGAAAAATTCATCGAGATCGAGGTGAAAAGGAAATTTAGACAACCATGTCATTCGGCGCCTATCATCATGTTTTTATACTCCAAACTCGATGTGCTGTTGACAAGTATCAGCATGGACGGGAGGATTAAATTTTGGAACTACCGTACAATAGACATGGCCGATCCATCTGAAAACAATCGTGTATTGGAAATAGAACCAACTTATGAGATTAGTGTTCAGGACTCTATCGGTGAATCTAAAATCATGGGTATGTCCAAGATCGACAGCAACCCCAAATTATACGACTATTTTATTCAGGTAATAAATGACAGAAAAATCTAGATTATATATGCATATCTTAGACTCATAATATTATAGTGTATACGTTATTGTAAAATAATACACCTCTTTAACGTTTGATGTATCAGTAGTGAAACCCAGGTGTTTTATTGTTAAAAAGGGGTAGGTTAAATAAAAATTGTCTTTTTTTAAATTTTTATCAATATAAATTTAACTATTATACCTTAATTTAAAATTAATTTGTAATAAAAAAAATAACGTTCAATTATTAATATTACTTATGTAGCCTAAAATAAATATATTGTTATTTTATTTGATTGACCAATACTTAAAGCGAAAGGAGAGAAAAATCTACCCCTTTTTTTTGTCACTAGCGTATATTTATATAGACTATAATTCAAAAATGATGATTTAAAAAATTAAATAATTACACAAAAACCAAATATGTATGTAGTTGATTTATTTTATCGGGTTACTAAAAATCTGTATACCTAAATTATTTTTACAATTATATTTAAAAATGAAATAAAATATAAAATAATAAATATTTTATATTTTGTTTATTTATTAAAAAGATTTACAATCTATAGAGATAAGAAAAATAATATAATACATAAATTTGATCATTAATATTGGTTGGTAAATGACGGGAGGATAGCATTACCACCCAACCTGGTATTTTTTAGATAATATAATGTTTTATTTTTTTTCTTAGGTTTTCTGAGTAGATCTCTAGGCCACCGCCTTTTGAGTCCCAAAGAATATTTTCGGGAAGTGAAAAGAAGGATAGTTGTTTAATTAATAAGTTACTGTAAGAGTTAAAAACACATTTAAAGTAGTAATAAAGACATTTTTAGGTATTATGAAGACTTTTACTTATAAAATACCTAAATACAAAAAAGAGAAATTTTGTAAACAGATCAATTGATATGCTTGAAGTGTTTTAGTATTAGAGGATTTCGTAAAATTCCATAGCTGAATACCGTGATATATCCAAGTGAAACACGATTGCGGGCGCTTTACCTTTTTTGCAACACAATTTCGAACAAAATTAGTGAAACGTTGCCAAATTGTGCGACACAGTTTACCGAGCTTAATGATAATCAATTTGATGATAGGCTTATCGTTCGATTTCTAGTGTGCATCATTTATACCTATAAAGCAGTGCTTGATTTTTTGTATAAAGTTCTTATCACATGTTTGCTCACCGGAAAATGTTATTTTAATACTTTACTCCTACAACTGCTATTGGTATCATACTTTATTATTCAATTATTGTATGATGCATTTTTTATCGTATTCATTATTTTTGTAGGACGGCAACGGGGGTATGTGGCTTGTTGACATCGAAGTGTCAAAGAATGCGAAGCCTTTAAGACGATTGGCTAAGTTCCACGGTGGTATGATTACCTCTTTGCAACCATCACCCATCGGTTATTTCATTGCTACAACGTCAATGGATGGTTGGCTCCACATATACGATGTAATCAATAAAAAGTTGATATTTACCCACAATTTCAAAGTACCAATCACTTCGTCGATTTGGTTACCACAAAAGGTGTGCGAAATTTATATTAAAATCATTAGAATCGCGACTGCGATTATACATTATTCCTAATTACTATTTTTTGATGGAGAAATGTTTCATAGATAGCTTGTTCGAGAAATATCTTCATAGTTGGATTTCAAACTGGAATTTTGAAAATAGTTACCATACCACTTAAAAATAATATCGAAAAAAGAATATTAAATTATTCTGAAATAGAAGAAATACAAGTATTTAGATCGTTGTTATTAATATAAAAATTTTATTTTAATTTTAATATTTTTCTTATTAGTCCTCAAAGCCTCATAAAAGTTCTATCAATTATTTATCTTTAAACAATAGTGCGAAAATTCTTTTATGTGGAGGTGAGGATAAAACAGTATTTGCTTATAAAATAAAAGTTGGACCTATAAAATTGAGTCCTATTGGTTTTTTTTCATTACCCGGTAAAGTCACTTTTGTTCATTGGAAACCATCAAAAGTAAAAATATTTTAGATATGTTTATTTGTTAGTTAAAATAATGGGTAATAATTTTCAATGTTTAAATTGATTTTAGAAAGATATTGTATTAATAAGTTGCGCTAGTGGACATATTGTAGAAGTGAAAGTTCCTACAAGTCGTCCGTCGTATACCATAGAATCGTTTTTATTGAAACTTGAATTGCGTGAAATACAAACAGTCAGCATTAAGTCAGAAATATGCCAACAGCAATATTTATTGAATTTGGAGAACAAAAAAAATGATAAAATCAATAGAAAAAAAGAGAAATTAAAAATTATCAGAGAACAAAACCCTGGTGTAGAAATTGACGAAGATTTATATTTTGAAGATTCTGAAGAAGATGAAACACCGCCGAAAACCTATATTCCTCCAATACCGAACTCCATATTGTTTGCCATATACACTCCATCAGAGAGCGGTATATGGGTATCGATTGATGGATACGACGCTGGCTTTTTATACGAATACGATCTTGAAACATCTAATCCAGTAGCTAATGCACATATAACAATACCAGATAAAAATAATACTCCACTGACAGCAATTAAAGTTGTGTAAGTATATCTACATAAAACATGCATGTTTACTATATACTATTTATTGGACTAAAGTATTAATAATATTACAAATGTAATGCTTGATATATATGTACCAGCTTAGAAATAATTAAAATTTTAGGTATGGTATACTTAAATACTACAGATATTTACGTGATAAATGTTATATTATGTTAAAATGTATACATAATTTAATACAGTATAGGTAGATACATATGTAATATATTTTTAAAATTACCTCTATTTAATTACGGTAAAATATACAAATTTTAAATTTAATTTATAAACGTTTGCTAAGCTGCATTTAATAATATACCCTTTGTGCTTTCAACGTTAAAATAAACATATTTATTTTATTTATATTTTTAAGTGGAACTGATCCAATAAAAATTTTTATGGGATTTGCTGATGGCAGAATACGTCTTACAAATGTTAAAGACAATGATATATCAGATTTTGGAGACTATATTGAATATTCTGTTCACGATAACAAAACAGGAAGAGTAAATATGTTGTGCTTAAGTCAAGATAACTATATGTTATACACTTGTGGCGATGATTGTAACATTTTTAGTTTTATGTTTCAATGTAATAATAAAAACATTGAAGAATTGCCTCAGTCACTTGTATTAGTTGTAAGTAACGAAATAAAAACTTATCATTTGAAGATTAAAATATATTTATTTAAAAATTAGGAAGAAGAAATTATAAATACCAAAGAGAACTAAAATTAAGTTTTGAAGACATAAAAATACACATTAAAACATTTAATTTTTCTATATCATACTCATACATCAAAAAAGTTACATGCTACGTATTATGAATTATATATTGGTGTTTTGTCCAATTATATTTATAATATATTCAATATAGGTAGTACATTTCCAAGTATATAAATTTAAAAAAAAAAAAATATCGCACTAATATATATATTTAAAGTCATCATTATTATGAAAATGTAAAATTGCGTATTATAATTATAAATACGATTTATTATATATAAAAATAATATTAAAGCTAAAATATTTTTACGGTGTGTCTATTAAATAGTTGAAATATTTGGATATTATTATAAAAATAAATACAGTAAATTTAATTCATAACCAAAATCAAAAAAATATGTATCACACTTGTTGATTCTACCAGCGAATACATTTCTCTATTTTATGGAAAACGAAAACCCTCTAAATATTACATTAACAAATAGTACAAAGATTAAGATTTTAGAGTGATCAAACATTTTTTCATGGTAATAAAATAATTATTACAAATATTTACATTATTATACCAAGAAATAATACAATAAATAAAATTATAATGGTTTTGTGTCTGAAAATGAAAGTATTCTCAACATACGATTGCCGCTAAATTAAGAAATAACATGGAAAACAGAGGTACGTCAAATCTGTTATAAAAAAATGCACCGTTAGGAAATAATGAAAGAAAATTACGTCGAGTTGAATGGAAACGATGTGGAAACTTGAAAGAGAATAAAACTGAAGTGTTCTGGATGTAGAGATATCATGCATTGAATTAATGGTACTTATGTCTCAGACTTTCAGATGCTCTCCATTAGGAGTGAGCCATTGTAGTTATGAGGAGACAAAGACGTGTTAATAGTAAAAGAAAGATGCTTCTGTCAGAACTCAATTTAGTGTTTTTTATTTTTAAGTTAGAAGAGATTTTAACTAGATACTATTTTTATCATGCAGGTTATCGTTAGTTAGGGCATGACGTGTTCGTTGCTGAAATTCCAAGGTGGTCATCCATTCGGAAACTAGTGTGTTCACTATGTCACGTCATGCCCCATCAATAACTGTTACTTTGTTGGATACGATAGTCTTTGATTGGGCAGCTATAATTTTGCATAGTTAAAATAATTTTATAATATTATAATGCAGAATACTTGTAATAGACTATTATAAATAATTTGCTTATTGATTAATTTATGCTATTGATAACTAGTTTGCTGATTACTTGTTTCCATTATTTAGTGATCCAAATTGTTTTTGCAATGACAGCCTGAGAATGATATAAAATAAAAGTTGATCTCCGGAGAAAATACATGTACGTACCTGCATGCACGTATGCATAATAGAAAGTTAAATTACTTGTATTTCCTGCATAATATATTGCTTGGTTCACGATAAGATATAATCGTTCTAAATGAAATATTATTATTACATATAGGCATTTTAAATGTTTTCACATATATTATTTTAAATCAATTATTGAAATTCTGAACAATTTAATATAGTTTTGAATGTTTCAATGCGTATATTATGTAATAATATATACAATAATGTTTACTATAAAAATGATATATTTACTACTCATGCTCCATTCTACCGTATCACGGGCCCGCCTCGAGATCTAATAATTTAACAATCGGACAGATAATAACAATTTACGCTTATTATTATATTATTATCATTTGCTCCGTGAGATTTATCGATAAACCACACCGTAGTAAGCACACTTTATATATAACATATATATGTATATTGTATATATATATATATCATATTATTACATAGAAACTTTAAGCTAAGTTCGTGTCTTCGTCTAATTAAAAAGTCTTGAATTGAAATTTATTTCTCGTGTTTCAATAAAACCGTCGGACGACAAGGGTACACATGTATTTCCGGCGATTTCGGCGAATTTATGGTCCGGCACAAATGCAAAAACCACCCCTGCATTGTACGAGAGGAAAAAAAACGTACGCACACATTAGGTATAACATATATCGTATAAATAGGAGCGTTTGGCCTGATATATGTATACGTATAGGTTTAAAAGGAGACAAATTGATGTTGACTCTGCTACCACCGGCCTCCGCGCCGCCAATACTCTTTCGTGAGATTGATAAATGGTCCGGCCCGAATCGCTCTAGGCCGTAGTTGTGTGTGGATTGAGGTGGTGGAGTACGACGGTCAGTGCGGTCGTGCGGAAGGGATGGGGAGGGGCGGAGGGACGCAAAGAAGAACCAAAATAATAGGGATTTCGGACTGAGATTAATGATTGACCTCGCGGTTGACTACGCGGACAATATAAAAGCGGCTGCGGCGAGAAGTTGTCTCGCGAATCGGGTGTGCGTGTATATATCGATATTGATTTCCCTTGACTGTTCGATCCGACCAAGCGGGCTAAAAAAAAAATACGACAATTTGTATTCAACACGTCGCTTAATGCTATGGGATAGATGAACGTATTTATACCACCAAAAAAAAAAATCATCTGATCTTCACGCTTCGTAAATCCTTGTTATCCCGCGCCAATAAAGGTATTCGGCGCAAAAGAAACATCTATTTCGTATACATTATAATATATTACACAGGTATTGTTTTTATTAGACAAACGGTATTGTGTATTTGTCTGCACGATTCATGTAATATATAGTATCGCTCAATCAGTCAGTCCAAGATAATTGATTATATACAATGTAGGAATTATGTTTATCTCCGTAGCTTATTATTTTTATTGATAATGACATTGAATATAAACATTACAATATTATTATGAACAACGGTGTAGACGAAAAATATACCTAACGTTATTTTATCACACATTTTTGCATATAATATTTACTTCAATCGTTATATACTTACATCACTATTTAGTATTTGACAAATGATCATATCTCTCGTTAAAAGTTTTTTTTTTTCGAATCAGTAGCAATGTCAAGGGGTTCATTTTATTAACCGTTGAATGTTGATTTTGATTTTAAAAAAAAAATCACTTTTAATTCTGAAAATAACATGTAATTTAGATGAATAAATTAATTTTTGTCAAAACTCAAAATTAAATTATCAATGAATAAGTCTCGCAGTAAAAAAAAAAAATAACGACAGGTATACAACGTTGTATAGGGTCAATTACGGTTACAAAACATAATAATATACACGTGGTACAATATGTGTAGGTACATATCCCTAAGTCTACGTAAATACGTTTTGCATATAACTATCATAATATATTGTGTAATAATATGAAGTGATACAATATCACGACATAATGAAGGTGAGGGAGAAGGTGTTCGGAACGGTTGTAATCTCGTCGCGGAGTTGGCATGAGCAAGAGGAGGCCGAAAAAAAGATTGTCTGCTGTGACGAAGTATATATATAAAAACACATGTATATTTGTACACACAATATTATAATATGATGAGAAGCTGCTATTGCGGACCGGATAAACCCTTTGGTGCGTGAAAACCCCTCATCACGCCATAACAATATACACATAATATTATAATACATATGGCTAGTGTGTATGCGGCTTAAACGCGCGTGTTCGCTCGCATTAACACCTTGTGCATTATAATATTACATAATATAATAATATAATATATTTGAATTGAAAGTGAGTCGATCGTATATTAAACGGTCGCTACCGCGCGCTGTGCATGCCTCGTGGTATTATATATTATAATCGGATGAAATCGATTGCGAAGAATATAACAATAAAAACGTATTATTATTGTTGTTGCGGATACGAAACAATATTATATCGTACGTATAAATACTTCCTATAAGCACTATGACGCGACCGACCGAACAAGCATTATACATTATACATAAAGTAGTATTATATAATATGTATATGCGTGTATGTATGTGTGTGTGTGTGTGTGTGTGTGTTATGAAAATTATGGCGCTTCATGGATGTGGGAAGTGGATGATAAAAATAGGACACAAATCCAAAAAAACGCAGTGGCGCGAAGAAGTTGAAGTACCACATGGTTAGTGTATTATTATTGTACGTATGTGAAACCACGCGGGTTTGTTCCGGTCGGATGCCGGATTTGTCGCCTCGCGGTCCGGAAGTGACAGGGAAGGGTTATTGTTGCGGCGTAGTGTAGGCGAAAAACCATGTTGCAGAATCTCGGTGCGGGATGACAAAGCGGAGCACAATGACTACACCATCGTCGCCGCAACAAATGCCACCTGCAGACGGAATTAATTCCGGAACGTCCGTCGAATCTCCCTCTCGGCCACCCCCACGGACACCACACCCCATCAGCGGCCAGGCGGAATGAATAATCTTTTATCGTGATTTCCGGTGCGTGCACATATAGGTACACTATACTATTGCTTATATAATATAGGTAGACATATATGTTCGAGATTAATATTATTATAACATAGTGGGCGCGAGCCGGACGGAATCCGATTTGAGGTATTACGTGCGCGCGTGTACTCTCGAAATGTGTTTGGACGTGTAACCGGGACTTCGAACAGTTGCGCTTTTTGACGCTATGATATTATAATGCTGCTATTTTGAGCCGAAGACCGATCCACAGATAGATAATTGTTATGATTGTGAATTCATGATTTGTGCGTCGCTTTAATAATAGAATCTATTTCACGCATAACAAAGTGAAATTAATTTCCGTAATTTCGATTGTGTGAGTCCTGGGTTAACATTAGACTACATCACATATATTATATAGACTATAAATGACAGATACTATTATTGCATCCCTCAAACAAAAAGGTATTCATAA